TTGATTACAATTAATTGGCCTGAAGAAGGAACCTGGCATGATTATTTTTCAAAGCTATCATAAATTCATTAAATATATAAAATCTACCTACCACCATTTTGGAACTAACTATGAAGAACCAAGTTGTGGTTGAACAGGGATCTACCAATTAAAATTTTCTGATGCATATGATCAAGAAATGTCTCTAGTTTCTATCTGTGATATGAAGCTAGGCTAACTGGGAGCCTGTATGTGGGAAATAGGGGCTGGGGTTGGGTTTAATTGGGAGGAGTATTAACATAAAGACTGCTCAAGAGCTTATCAAGAAAAGAGAGGAGGAAACAGCACAAAGGGAAATGAACAGTAAAAGCAGAGAGACCGGAATCTGAATTGAGATGAAGAGATAAGAAGAGAATCTGACAGTATATTGTTCATATGTTTTTGCACCTTCTTGTGAGTTAGAGAAATTCAGACATGGAACTGATGGAACCAAAGTTAAGAGCATGTATAATATTAATAAGTATTGCCAAATTTCTACTTATCAGCTGCATATGAAAATGGCTCTCTTACATTTTTACCAGAACTATAATCTTTGCCAATATGAAAGAGAAAAATTTTAAAGGTATACAACGATGTTCTAATTTGCATTTATTTACTTATGAATTAGATTTTTGTTAGATTGAACATCTTTCTATGTGTCTATTTCTTTCTCTGGTAGATCCCTTTATGTTTTTTAAAAGCTCTTAATTTGTTAGGAGATTAGTCTGGGCTATGCAGCCAAGGACTGTGTAGGCAGAACTTTAAGAAACTTCTAGGTGCTTCTTTGAAAAAGCAATTTAGTAACTTTTAAACAAGGAGAAGTCCATCAAAGGGCCCCTCTTAAGTTCTAAATAGGAGACAAAAAGTCAGGCACCACCCCAAGTTGAAGGATGTAACTGGAACATTTTGGTGGTTTAATGAATGTGCAAAGCCAAACAGCCTTTGATGGATTGAAACAATGACTGTTGAGAGGGTCAGGCAAATACACAGAGGCACCCAGGAACATAGCATTAAGTCTCCCATGAATTCCTTGCCTTTTGTGCTTTACTAGTTTTAGACCCTCTCTTGTAGATTGAGATGATCTCAGAAAGGGGCAGGAACAGTCTTAAGAGACGCAAAGAGGAACTTGGAATGAGGGACATCGAAAGCCCACAACTGGGGCGGGGAAAGCGAGGGAGTTGGCTCTGACCCAGCGTGCAGCTGTCACTGGAGCCCTTTCTGAGCCAGACAGCCTGGAGGGCATGCGTTGGGAGCAAACTTGCAGCAAGCTGAGAACTTAGTCCTCGCTTGGGGTCCTAAGGTGACAGCCACCACAGCACTGCGTGGCTGAGGGTCATTTTCCCTCCTTCACTTCAGTCACAGAGTCGTGGGCCTGGGAGGGCAGGACTGCAGCAGGAGACACAGATGGAACACATTGTGCAGAGTCAGAGTTCATCAGGGACACTGCGCAGCGGGCACAACAGGCGCTTCACTGCGCGGGGAGAGAAGCCCGCTGTGGGCCGCTTAAACTCACCAGTTGGTTCTCTTTGCCTGCGGTTCGGAAGCAGGCACCTCTGCAGTCACATGCCCCAAGGGTTCATGGGCAATTTGGAGTTGGACATCTTAGTAATTTGACGCAGGAATACTTTGAATAATTTTGACCTAAAACTTGAGAGTCAGGTCATACCATTTGTAACGTATATGTGGCAAATGTTAGTTTTGTTTCTTTTTGGAGTTTTGGATTTATTTATTTATTTATTTATTTATTTATTTATTTATTTGCATTTTGGCACTTTTGTAAGTCATGGAGTTTTGAAATATTTATTGATCAGTGACTTCCTTTGTGACTCCTGTGTTTTATACCAAGAAAGGCCTCCCCTTCTCCAAGATAGTATATATGTAAGATATAGGTATACAGAGAATGACAGGAAAATTGTGAAAGACTTTGAAATGGGCAAAGAAGGTTACTGGGTGACTTTTCAGTGGAATACAACACAGCACTTCCAGGTTATCTGGAAAGAGACCTAGGATAGAATGCACGCTTATGAGAGAATGGATGCCTATGATAGAATGTATTCCAGTAACCATTAATTACCAGAATAAGTTAACCACAGCCTGTCAGTTTTATTATTATTAAGTAGGTTTCTGCTTCCTGAAACTTGGCTGAGGCTATGCTATAAGCTTCAGGCCAAATTTTGTTGTTGTTTTTTTGGTTTTTTAAAATATATTTTTATTGATTTCAGAGAGGAAGGGAGAGGGAGAGAGAGATAGAAACACCAACGATGAGAGAGAATCACTGATCGGCTGCCTCCTGCACACCCCAACTGGGGGTTGAGACTGAAACCCAGGCATGTGCCCTGACTGGGAAACAAACTGTTGCCTCCTGGTTCATTGGTTGACGCTCAACCACTGAGCCACACTGGCCGGGCCAAATTCTGGTTCTTTAGCAAAGACACACAGCCCCAGATTCTCATGGAAAAGGACTGTGCCAAGTACATTAAACTACTGACATTTCAAAGAATAGAGTCTTGGGTACAAGCTTCTGAGCTGACATTACTTAGGCAGCTTTCAGGCTGTACTTGTGGAGTGAGGGTGGATTCACAAGACTCTTCTTAGTCCAGGCAACGTTATGAAAGCAGAATGCTAACCCAAGATCCAGCAAAACGGAACTGCACAGGGGGAATGTGCGGATGAAGGAAATTTACTGTGGTTGTGTTGAGGCTGTTTTAATGCTCTATTTTCTGGATGTATAGGAGGTCATTTCTCTTTCTTCTTAAGCTGTCTTTAATCTACAATTCAGTGGACTCTACATTTGTAAAGTGAAGTTAAACATTTTTTTTCTGCTCCTCACTGAATTTCCCTTTACCGCCCCCTCCAATTAAAAATCTTTGTTTCCTTACAGCAATATTATTATTTGCATAGGTTCAACAAGAACTTTTATTTCTACCAGTATATATATTTTAAATACCCAAGGAAGCCTATAAGTTAGTTAAAACTTGTTGAGCTTATGCAAATAATCAGGCCAGACCTAATGACACCAGTCTTTAAAATTTTTTTTTTTATGACTGAGAATAATCTTAGAGACTTTATATCACGAAGAGGGGGGAGGATGGAAAACATTTTGAAAGGCCTAAAAGGTTACTGAGTGTATTTTCTATGCAATACTAGGTGTCCTTTCTGGGTTATCTGCTACTCCCCACCCCTGCCCTTTTTTGTTTGTTTGTTTGTTTGTTTTTGAGTTATTTTATAATTCTGTAAATTGTAGAAAAATGATGGAGATAGAAATTATTATTGCCCAGAGAAGCAAATGGAGTCTGTCTGGTGAGATGCAATTAATTACCTGCTGTGAGGCAGGCCAGGGGGCATCTATTAGCAAATTCATTTCACATCCCTGATTGCTCATACATGTGCCTGTTCTTTGAATTCTCCTTTGAACCATTTTTAAACCTCTTACTTTTTCCTTCATTAATAATTAACTAAATTAAACTTTTGACTCATGATGACTTTGTATGAAAGTAATAGCTTTACATTTGTAAAAATATATATATATATTTACCTATGTGTCATGATTAACATCTTTAATATGTTTGAACTCTCTCTGGATATAAGGGACTATACAGGGATCTAACTTTATTTCCTTCAAAAAGCTAGTCATTTTCCACCATTCACTGAGTAGCCCTTATTTTCCCTGTTGACTTGGAAAGACCACTTTTCTGGTGTTATTTGGATCCTTTATGTATGTGTTCTCTATTATGTTCTATTTTTTTTTTATTTCCACATCTGTATCAATCTAAGTGCTATACACTTTGATAATTTGACAGGTTATTTTGACATTGCACTGACCTTACTGAAAAATAACAGGTTGTCCTGCCAATTTGGATTAGTCCAAAATTTAAACTAATGAAAGGTAGAACGTTGGTGTACAAAAAATTGGCCTCATTATTTGGGCCTCATCCACCCCTCTGACTATCCTAACCAGGCAGAACACAATTATAAGTCTAGAAGTAATAGAGATGCAAAGCTGTAAGTCCCTATTTTGTCTCATAGGGGAGGAGGAGAACCGTACCCAGACAATTATGTGTAAAACAGGGCCGAGTAGAACAGTATTAGCAGACACTCATGGAGCCATAGTGGGAGAAGTCAGAGCCACCAAAAGCACAGCAGGACTAGGGGCCTTTGATTTAGAGCAAAGCCCGCAGTAGCCTTTTGGATGGTTGCACTTTGACAATTGCTTGGGTTTGAAAGTGATAATTGCACCCTTCGGCCCTGGAGTTTTGGTCAATTAGGAAATACAAACAGGAGACACATAAGGATAAAAAATACCAGCTGTATTGCTAATGACGCTAGGTTAGAGTACACACCTTGGATTCCTGTGCCCCAAATTTCCACTGGAGATCCATGTATGCACCAATATAGCCCTGCAGAATGGGCCGTCTCCCTGGGCAGCTCAGGGAGAGCCAAGATGGGCCGCACACCCAGTCATGCCACGAAGGCCCGGTTGTTCATGCACCAACTGACCACAGGGGGACTCTGGATAGCAGACTCTGGCCATCTTGTTGGTCTGATAAAACTTTCCTAGGATCATGGGGTGGAGCCAGTGATGGACCAGGAAAGGCCAGGCTGCAGGAGCTTTCCCCTCAATGGTTCCTGGGTAAATAGCAATGGGGGTAGAATTTCCCGTTTTATGGTTGGCTTTCATGCGGGTAGAGGAAGACAGGAGTCCCTCCTACAACATAGCACAAAGCATGATACCTGCAAATATGAGCATGAGTTTAAAATGTAATTGTCAACCTACTCTGATTATGGAGAAATATGTAATATGTTTCAGATCAGATAGATCACTATCAGAAGTATATTTTAAATATAAGCTTCCAGTGTTCCAGAATGCTGACAAATGTGTGCAAATCTGTCCCCAAGAACTCTGAATGGTGTGTATAGTAAGTACTCCAATGGCCCCCTCTTTTAGTACAGCATCCCCCCAAAATAAACACAAAATTCATAAATACTTTTAGTTCATGTTTTTAATGTTTAAAAACCATGTTAATAGAACAGTTATAGAACAGAACCTCTTACATTTCTTTATTTACACCACCTCCTGGGGGGGAAAAACCCTCTATTTGATTAAGCATGAATAGCAGTTTGGTAACTTGTGACTCACTTAAGTCATTGCTCTAAAATTCATTTACAAGGTTTTTACATTAATAAAAGAGTGGTGTGCTGCATGTACTGGACTTAGATGAAGTCTGAAATACACTGGACTCGAGAGTGGATTACATCCCAATGATGAAGATTGACATGTTTGGGGAAAAGATGACTTAAGACAGTCTTGGGGTCCATACTGAAAATATAAGGCAAACATGCAAGACTTTCAAAAGCTTGATAAAGTAATGTGTGTGTTTTTCCCCTCCTTCAAATTTGTGCTCCTAGTTAATGTTCAGATTCTTTCCCCTTTTCCAAGATCCCAAAGTTTGGGAAATGCAGCAATTCAATTTTGAAAAAAATAAAAGCATTCTTCTTTCCAACTTGTTTTTATAAATACTGTGCAGTGGTATCAGTGTTGAGAGTGAAAGAGTGTTATGAAAAAATAGTGTGTCATTTTGGGTATATCTATTTCTATAGATAATAATTTAGGTCTAATATTCCTTAGTTGTAGCTCAGAGGACTAGCTTTTAAATAATTGACCTTAATATCTTTTAAATGATTGATCTTAATGAAATCAACACTACTAGTTCTTCGACACTTCTCTTTCTAAACAATTAAGTAAGATTTTTAGATTCCAAGTCTACATTGAGAGCACTATGTTACCTGGCAGAGAATGTAAATTTTTCTAATTCCCCCCAAACCCCACTAATATCTATGAAAACTTTTATTCTTGAAATGCAGACGATAGAGACTTCTATTTCCGTGTGAGTCAACAACTGCAAAAATATACAGCCTCCTATTTATTTACAGGATATTTACATACAAATGAAGTATTTCCTACAATAAGCCTCAGCTGCATAGATACTTCTTTAAACACACAAATTCAAGCCTGTACACAGATGGGCCCAGTTTCACAGCCCTTTCTCTGAGAAAACCCAAAAAGAGAATGCCTAAGCCTTGTGAATTTTCCGTATTTTCCGAGAACGTTCCCTTTTAGATATGGTGATACTTTTTTAGCTGTTAGCCAACCTACCCCCAAGTTGTACCTGAAAGCCTGATATCATAAATAATAAACTGTATTTTAAAGGACGTGTGTTCTGTTGCTAAAGGATTCTCAGATCTGCCATCCCTAAGGAAATCAGTTGTTAGCATTGCTAAATGCTAGAGTCCGTATCTCCTTTGTTTTGAAAGTGGCTGGAAGTTTACTATGAACTGGAATGGAGGGATTATATCCTTATGCCCTTTCTAAGCCTCAAGCTGTTTATATTGATAAACTGAGAGGAACTAATGGCTTTTGCTTTAAGGCATAAAATATCTGATCACATCACTGACCTCCTCCCCACCCCACTCAGCGGTGCCGCCCAGCCTTCTGATACACTGAGCGCTGCATTCTTTTCAAAGCAGTTTGCAGCTCCATATTCAGTGCAGACCTTTCAGCAAGGAATTCACTTTAGCAAGAGGACGGATGGATCACCACCCAATGACTCAACATTCTGCAGAACTTACTCCTGGCATGAACTCAGTAATTCCTCTAAGGCTGCGTTTACGAAGGGTCTGTTCTTTCAATTCCCCTGAAAAAAACACACCAAACAAACAAAAAAAAACCCAAAAAAACAAACACAGTAACACCTCACTCTTTTCACAGCACTAAAAAATGTGTCCTCGTTATGCCTCAGCCCAAAGTTATATAAAGTGCAAGCAGCCTCCATACAACTGAGCACCTGCAGCAGCCGTGCCAGTGGGAGGGGAGGAGGCACCCGGACTGGGGCCAGTTCCTGCCCCAAGTCCTGCTTCCCATTTCTCATCCTGGGAGTCCTCTGAACCATCCTCTGGGTGGGACGAATGGGAGAACAAAGGGGAGACTAACTGGCTCAGTGCTATTGTGACCCCCAGGAGGGCTTGTTAGCTGCTCCAACCCCCCAGCTTCCGCTTTCACTGGGTCTGGGGTGGGGCCTGAGAGTTTGCGTTCCAACAAGTTCCAGGTGCTGCTGCTCTGGGGGCCACACTTTGAGAACCACTGGCCTAGAGGCTCGAGTCCAACTCCAGGAAAACATCCATTCTGGGGTAACTGTCTGTGCTGTCCTCTGAAATACCAGGGAATCCTACCACAGTCCTTTGTCAACCCCAAGCCTGTAACCATTACATCACCCAGGTGCGCCTTTCTCTACAGGATGTGCAAATGTAGAAAAAGGAAAGTGGTAGAAAGCTTTTCCACCCCCAGCTGATGACTGGGCAGTGAAAACACGATTTACTAGCACCGAACCCATTACAAGTACTGTATGCTGGTTCCAATGACTGACTGGCATGTGGGAGGGGCTATGCAACAACATCCTTTTGTGTGTGTGCAGTGGGCAGGAAAGGAGATGAACTATAGGAGCACAAGGTCCTATAATAGAAGCAGACAAGGCCAAACCTGTGACCTCCAGAGAAAAGAAGGTATCAGCTGAGGAAGGTCCCTGTGGTTTACAACTCACAAGAGGCCCCTCATCCTCCTTCTCACTCTGCCTACACTGGGTTCTCTGGTGGCCCCGGGCTTGCTCTCCCCCTCCTCTGCTGGGGACCCTGCTTCAGGCCACTCTGGTCACCTTCAGATGGTGGTGCCCCTACGCCCGTCATCCAGCAGGTGTGTGTCGCTGCGCTGGGCGACCCAGAATCCACTAACAACAGGAATGACATATTCTTGGCAACTCTGAACAAATACCCCTAGAAACAATATTATGTTTAGTGGTTAGGTTCTTTAACAATCTTGTTATATTATCCAATTTCAGCTAAACTATGGGTTTAATCATCTTTTCTAGCTGGTCTGAGGGCCTAACCACCATGTATAACCCCGTTTGTAACAGGAAATACATTTCAGGTTGCAAATAATCAACTGAAAGTTTCACAATATGATCAGCTTATAACTTGGGACTGCCTCTGCTTAACAAGACTACATTTCTTTCCTGTGCACACTTTGCTACCCCCACTTCCGTTAAGTAGCATTAAGGAAATCAGGGATTTACATTAGTCTGTATTGCAATAACCAGAGAACAGTTGTAAATCCAAAGTATTAAACTGGCACTGTTCACTAGCCCTGAGATCTGGCTACCAAAGGAAAAGGTGCTGCTCCCAGTGGCGTAAGGTATAATATTCTTTAGTCTACTGATTTAGCAGAAGAACTTCTATAGTACTTGGACTGCGTTGTTTAAATTCTAGCTAACATCTGTGATACATGTATTTTTGGCTACCAGTTCACTATTCTGAACAAGATTAACAGCAGTATACTTTACAGCTAATCCCACACAAATGGTGTAATCCGTGATATTTGACAAACTACAGTAGGGTCTATTGTATTCAGTCAACTTAGATAAACATACAAAGAATATTTTAAAAACCTGTGGTATCCTAGACATCTACACTAATGTGCCTCCTCTAAATAAATATATTTTAAATAATAATTATTCCTTTACTGACACAAAATCCAGAGATCCAAAAATATCATTACACATCCTTTCCCCCCCAAGAGTTAATGATAAATTTCTAAATGGACTTTGGGAGTGTAAGATGAATGAATTGTAAATTAATGAGGAAAATAGAAAGTAGCAAAATATGGCTGGAATATGTTGTTTCAATGGAGGGCCATCCCACTATCTGGTATTTCATTACTTGCTGCTCTAGACAAGCCTCCGAGGGCCAACTGACTTGACTTGTTTTGCTGTTTCTCTCCCTGCTCACCTAAGACATTCTTTTCGGCAGTGTCTTCCATATTACTGGGTTAGGCATTCGTGTCTAAGTGCCTGAACTCTGACCTAATGTGAATGTGGTTCTGGAACATTACATTAAAGCTATGATGACCTTTTCCTTCTCCCCACAGAGCCTCTTCCATGGGACAGAGGTCTGTAGGGGGGGGAGGGGTACCATTCCAGGGAGCTCCCAGGGAGTGTGGAGGCTTCTGGGGTGTGAATGGGGGAGGAACAGAAGCCAGAGCTCAGTGCCTGGAAGCCTTGCCAAGAGTCTGTGGCTAGAGTCTACTTATCACAGGATAAGGAATCTGTGCTCGGTGAACTTCTGTTTGAGACATTCAACCAGAATCTAGATGAAAACACAAGGCCTCTGTCAAGAGACCAGTGCACGGAGCACGCACATTTCTGACTGTGACATGGGACAATCCAACCACAGGTGATGGCCCAGCTTAGGGGTAATGCAGTTCTGGGGTTCTGGTCTTCATTACTTTCCAAACTACCTGTCCTAAACTCTCTCCTTTCTCAGTCTCTGTAGCTTCCTTCTGCTCCCTTTAGAAGAGGGGCTAGGGTATGAGTGCAGGGCAGCTCTACCCTGTGTGGGGTACGGGGGGCAAGCAGGAATGGCCCAGCCTCAGCTAGCAGCAAGGAGGAACAGCGGGGACACCGAGGTCCTCATGGGGGAAAGGAAGGTACTCCGTGATTTTTGTCACAAGTTCTCCTCAAAGACTATCTCTGAGGGTTCTCTTTCTCTTTCTAACACTCTGGATGGATTGTTAATGGAGAAGAAATAGGAATGAGGCTTATTTAAGATACAAAAATCTTGTATTTATAATAACCTAAATTTATAGATATAAAACAAGTCTTTTAAAGACACCCTCCCTCCCCCTAAAGTACCCAATATAAAACAGGAATTACTTAGATCATCCTTGGTTAGATACACCTTATTCCCTGTGCAAAAAGCTGGTGGACATGAGGAAAAGCTTCTGGGGTTATCATTTACTAGTAAGAAAACGTTTCTCCCTCCAACAATCCAGTGTAGGGTTGAAGGCGATCTGCATCAGAGGAATATTCTCTTAGGCATTTTGGACAATCTTTTTGCAGTATTCTTGCTCCTCAATTTATTATAAAGGTGTTATGGGGCTTCCCCAGTAGAAATTAACTCAGGTCAGAGTAACTTTGACACAAGTTGCCAAGAGGGAAACAAAACTTAATTTGCTAGATTCCCCACATGTGTAGTTTAATGTGTTTACCAAGGTAAGAATCATTTCCACCCCTTCCCAGCTGAGAGAACACTTCACCAGGGAATGTCTTTGTATGAAGTGGACGTAGTACCCGGGAGGCCACTGGTCTGCCTGCGGGTCTCAGAGCCACCTCAAACCCAGGGCGTGCTTGGACCCTGCAATGCACGCACCCCGCGACTCCCCAACGATGATCCCTGTGTGCTATGTTAACCCAAATAGGCAAATTATTTACGAAACCTTTTTTTCTTCTGTAAAGCAAAATAAATATATACAATTCAAGATTATTTTCTCTTCTAAAAAGATACAGATAGTGTGAGCTGAACATCAGTAGGAAAATTATTTCAGAATCTGGATCTATAATAAATAAACATGATTGATGATCATGTTTTCAAAGTTCTAAGAGACCATGAAGTCACACAAAAATGAGTTAGGAGAGTGAAAAATAACTGACTGTGGAAAGTACTAGGAAATATGATTCCGTGAAATTTGAAGTGGGGGGGGAAATCCATGATCCTTAAATTGATCTCAGATCTTGGAGGGACACGAACCGGTATAGAAACAGGTTTCTGTTTTGCGACCAAAGTGGGATTCCATTTGAAGTATCCTGTAAATTTCTGTTTGCTTCTGTAAACTTGCAAAGGAAGTGATGAGGGTTGCTGATGTGTGGTTGGTGACTTGAGCAGCTCACGGGAGTGTTGACGCTTCCCAGCTGGTCTCAGTGGCCTTCGTCACTCCCTGATGAGCAGGCCCAGTCGTAGATGACCAAGGGAATGCTGACCAGGGAAAACAACACCCCCAGGCCCAAGAAGAGGGCAGCCTGCAGCAACAGAAAGGCATGGGTTATTTCAGCGAAGCAAACACTTCCCACGGGCACCTCGGAAATAAACACCCACGCTTTCCCTCTCCTCGCGGACCCATGTGTTTGGAGGTTGTGACAACCACTGTGGAACTGTGAGAATCTTTCTGAAACTGTGCGAATCTGATTCTCCAAGGATGGGAAAGTAAGAACAAACTACACAGAGCCTCCTCTATATTCTGTGTTTTGAACTGGATGCATTTGCTCTGAGATTCGGTTTTTAACCTTGTAAGCCACATTGGAGGGGCTCGGCACTTGTGCACTGTGTGGGTCAGAGGACAGTAGAGAAAGATTGTCTGGCATGCTTGTTCCTCTACAGCCGACTGGCCATCCTTACAGCTTCTTTCTGACTGAGATTATGACTTAAAAAAAATGGTTTTGGAAAACATACAGGTCCTTTCATCTCTCTTTACCAACCAACCTAGGTTATCGCTGGTAGGCAAACATTTCTATTTGAAACGTGGAAAAAGATATAAAAGCAAAGATATAAAAGATATAAAAGCAAAGTTTCCTATATCAAGTGATATAGGAAACAGTGTCAGAAACTAAGTGACTTCAGTAATAACTATGTACGGGGCCACGTGGGTACTGGAAATATCAGGGGGGACCACTTTGTAAAGTATGTGAGTGTCTAAACCAGGAGTGGACAAACTTTTTGACTCGAGGGCCACAATGGGTTCTTAAACTGGACCGGAGGGCCGGAACAAAAGCATGGATGGAGTGTTTGTGTGAACTAATATAAATTCAAAGTAAACATCATTACAAAAAAGGGTTCGGT